TGTCTCACTGTGGTCTTACTTTGCATTTCTCTGGTTACTAGTGAGATCAATCATATCGTTATATTTTATTGTCTGTATTTTTCTTTATCTTTGAAATATCTGTTTACTCCTTTTCTGATTTATTGAAATTCTTTATATATTCTGGATATCTATATCTATATATGTGTGTGTGTGTGTGTGTGTATATATATATATATATATATAAAATAAATACCTATGTATAGGATAGACAAGAACAAGCTGTCTGATAAGGTGATATGCAGAAATATAAAGGAGGCGAGAAAGCAAGCCATGCAGATATCCAAGGAAAAAATCATTTTAGGCAGAAGAAACAGTCAGTGTAAGACCACAAGACAAATACATTTTAAGGGCAAGATGGTGTCAATATGGGTGGTGCATGAGGGAGAATAGAAGAGAGGCTATCTATGCAAGGGGAAGTTGGGCCTTGTAGAGCTTCATAGGAATTTTAACTTCATTTAAAGTAGAATCAGGAGTCACTGAAAATAGTAAGCAAGGAGTGACATAGTCTGATTTTACTCTTTAAAGTTGTATAGAAAATGGGCTACGAAAAGTGAAAGCTGGCAGCCAGCGTATGTTAGAATAGTCCAACTGTGATTGTGGGAACTTAAATTATGGTGGAAGCTATGGAAACAGGATTTGGATTTGGGTTATATTTTCATGGTCATCCACCAGGATTTGCTGATGTATTAGATATGAGGTGGGAGAATAAGTGAGGTATCAATAATGACTCTAGAGTTTGGGGCCAGAGCAGGTATGTAAATGAAGTTGAAAACATAGAAGGTGTAGATTTTGGGTCAGTGTATCAATACTCTGCTTTAAGCATATTAAATTTGAGGGGTCTGTTAGAAATACAAGTGGAGATACTGAGAAGACAGTTGGATTGTTGAGTCTAGAGCTTTGGAGAAAAGCTGGGACTAGGACTATACATTTGGTAATCATTCGTGTCTGGATATTAGGGACACAGGACTAGATGCAGACACCTAGAAAGAGAGCATAGATGTCTAAGAGAAGTCTGTACACTGAGCTCTGGGTACTCAAAGATTTAGAAGTTGAGAAGATGAACAAGAGCTAGCCAGAGAGACTCAAAGAGTAACTACAAGAATGAAATGTGGACGCCAAATGAATAAGAATGTTACAAGAAGAAGGAAGTGATCAATGTGTCATGCGCTTACCTGGGTTAAGACCCGGACTGAAAACTGACCATTGTTTTTTGACGTTTGGAAATCTTTTTTTTTTTTTTTTTTTTGAAACGGAGTTTTCACTCTTCTTACCCAGGCTGGAGTGCAATGGCGCGATCTCGGCTCACCGCAACCTCCGCCTCCTGGGTTCAGGCAATTCTCCTGCCTCGGCCTCCTGAGTAGCTGGGATTACAGGCACGCGCCACCATGCCCAGCTAATTTTTTGTATTTTTTTAGTAGAGACGGGGTTTCACCATGTTGACCAGGATGGTCTCGATCTCTCGACCTCGTGATCCACCCGCCTTGGCCTCCCAAAGTGCTGGGATTACAAGCTTGAGCCACCGCGCCCGGCCGACGTTTGGAAATCTTTGAAGGCCTTGCCAAGAATAATTTGGTTGGAATCAGAAGAGGAATAACCTGATTGGAGAAGGTTCAAGGGAGAATTGGAGGAGAGGAAATGGAAAGAGTGATGTTTCTCCACAGAATAGAATTATGTGTGAGAGGGACTATTAAAGGATGCAGACAAGAGGGCAAATAATTTCAGAGAAAAGTCCCTAAATGGGGGGGAAGGAGTAAGATTTGGTACCGAAATGTCCGGAACAGAGGCAGTTCATGCATTGTAACATGAGGGAAGGCAGAGTACAGGGGTAGCCATACTGTAGATTGGCCACAAAGAAAATATTCTCCACATGGAGCTATTTTCCTCTAAACCTTCCCCAGATCATTACCTCTGTTTCTGATTCCATCCCTCAAAACCTTCATCAGCTTGAATAGGAGGCAACTATTCAGCCACCTTGTCCATTCACTTTCTTATCCCCACTTGTTCACCCCCAGCATCTGAGCCCAAATCTTTCCTCCTTCCAGCAAACAAGGCCCCCATGCCTATCACCTTCTCATGTTGATGCAGTGGGCAAGGGAATGGAGGACCACTGACCCCCACACACCTACTCTCTGCTTAGATTACCCAAAATACCAGGTGTCATTATTTTTCAGAGATGCAAAAATATAATTACTACGGAGTCATTGTAAACTGTCACTGAATTCTGAGTACTTTTTGCCATTGTCTATTTTCTCAATCAACAAAGGCTAAAAGAAAATTATATGAAGTTCTACAGATTTATTTGTTACTTGCATTACTTAGTAGTGGTTCTTACATATAAAGGTTAGGAATAACTTCTTTGAACAAATATTGTATATAAAAAAACCAATAAATCAATTTTTAAAAATCATATTGCTGTTCACATTCCCATTTTAATACTCTCTTCTGATATCCTTATTTTAAGCTATGTTAGGTCAAAACAACTACTTTAATAACCTAGCAAATATTTATCGGGAGTTCACCGTGCAGTTAGCAGTTTATAAAGCTTCAAGTCTACCTGGTGAATAAAATGGACCTAGCCCGTATTGTTATGGGGCAGCAAGCCTGGTGGAGGAAGGTATGTAATCTGAAGGAAATAAGCAGAGGGATACCTTTTGAGAATTCTGTCATGAAGTAGGCAATTTTATCAATCAACATCAGAGAGTGCATTTACACCAACTTAGATGGTATAACCTACTACACACCTGGGCTGTATGGTATAGCCCCTTGCTCCTGGGCTACAAACTGGTACAGCACATTACTCTAATGAATTCTATAGGCAACTGTAATGCAATGGTAAGTATTTGTATATTTAAACACATCTAAAGATACAGTACAGTAAAAAAATACTATCTTTTGAACACTATCATGTATGTGGTCTGTCACTGACTGAAACATCATGTAGTGCATAACTGTACAGCAACAGATAATAAAGACAAGGAAGCTATTCAGAGTGGGAGATGGAAAACATGTAATAATGTATTCTTGTATTCATTTAGCAGACTTGTATTGCTGAAAGACACTGGAAAAATAAACAAAGATGACAAACAAGTGGTACATTTATTCAAGAGCATAGTCAAGGACAAGGAAACTTTTTCTTTAGCCCTCTTTTTAACATTACCTTCCCTTAGACACACACACACACACACACACACACACACACACACACACACACACACAGTTCCTGGCATACAGTAAATACTCCTTAATTGTTCCTTTCCTTCCATTTGTGATTCATTACTTCCCCCAGAAAACTCGTTTGATCTCTGCAAATAATGTCGAATCCCCTCTGTTTATTAACCATGGCAGTTGTTTTCCCATCTCCTATAAGTTCTCAAGCTCTAGCTCAACTCCTTGGGGTTTTTTTTTTTGTTTGTTTGTTTGTTTGTTTGTTTGTTTGTTTTTTGAGACAGAGTTTCTTTCTTGTCACCCAGGCTAGAATGCAATGGCACAATCTTGGCTCACTGCAACTTCTGCCTCCCAGGTTCAAGTGATTCTCCTGCCTCAGCCTCCTGAGTAACTGGGATTACAGATGCCTGCCACCATGCTCAGCGAATTTTTGTATTTTTAGTAGAGATAGGGTTTTACCATGTTGGCCAGGTTGGTCTCAAACTTCTAACCTCAGATGATCTGCCTGCCTTGGCCTCTCAAAGTGCGGGAATTACAGGCATGAGCCACTGTCCCTGACCATTCCTTGCAGCTTTATAGACCAAGTGTAATACTTTTTCTTTATGACAATACCCTTTGTTCAGAAATCACAGGGACAAATGTTTACAGAGACCAGATAAATAAGTAGATTGAGTGACAAGACTTACGAGACCATTGGCTTACTACCAGTTCATGGAAAGTTTGCTATTGCAAACTGCAATATTCATGCCCCATCCAAAAGCAACCACTGCAACTAAACTTTAACAGATTTTGTCACCTAAGTAATTCACAGATGTTCTCATATCTCTGGTCAGCATTGTCTGAGCCAAACAAAAGATTTCTGTGGGCATGATCAGATACTAGAGCTAGCAGATTGTAACCTCTGCTTAGATAATTGCAGGAATCAGGCTTCCCTTAGCTAAGCAGTCACTTCATACTGATAAGTAGCCCTTGCCTGGCACAAAGCAGGTGGGGCTGAATCCACCTTGACCTCCTATCACCAGGACTTTCTCTAATTCTTTCTGAAATAATCATCCTTTCTTCTTCAATCATTTCTCATAAAGCAGATTCTACGCATCTCCCCATCCTTTTTTTCCCCTAATATACCAGAATTTATCAAAGTAGAAACGCTAGAAATTATCTAGAAATACAAATGTGATCTGACCAGCACAGTGTGTAAACTTTCTCTTCCATTAATTTAGAAAAAGGATTATTAATTTTGAGTCTTAAATCTATCTCATAAAAGTGGAGGTGGATTGACTTTAAGGGATCAGTGAACCCATTAAAATGGTATAAAAGATTTTTCAGGGTTTGCAAATAAATGCTTATCTTTTAATATATTCTTAAAAGAATAAAACACCAAAGAAGATTTAACAACCTCTACAGACTAAGTTTCAATTAATGTAGTCTGTAGCATTAGCTTTTTAGAAGGCAGTTCTGTCAGTATATGGACCAGTCCTGAGCTTAGTCTCTACTAAAAACTCTCTGTCTTTTCATTTGTATCTTCTCCTACAAAGCTCCATAACCCCTGCAGGATACTGGTACAATTACCCACACCCCACCCACCCAGTGATTGTTCATGTAACTAATTATTTAATCCAAGTCTGAGGCCTAACCTTTTTTTACCTGAGAGTCACATGTTTTTATTTTTTTTAAATTTTAGAATCTAACATCTTTATTCTATTTTATTGGATTGATGCTAAATGCTATGATTTGAACACTTAGGAAAAATAATACTATACTGGGATATTGAGTTCATATTTACATGAACTTTTTTTTTCTTTTCTTCTTTGTAGGTCGAAAATTTAAAAAGTTCAATAAAGTCAGAGTTATGAGAGCACTAGATGCTGTTGCTCTCCCACAGCCAGTGGGCATTCCAAATGAAAACCAAGCCCTAAGCCAGAGATTCACTTTTTCACCAACTCAAGACATGCAGTTGATTCCACCACTGATCAACCTGTTATTGAGCATCGAACCAGACGTGATCTACGCAGGGCATGACAACACAAAACCTGACACCTCCAGTTCTTTGCTGACAAGTCTTAATCAACTAGGCGAGAGGCAACTGCTTTCAGTAGTCAAGTGGTCTAAATCACTGCCAGGTAATAATAATTTTTATATACAGCATGCAATAAAAAATGTACTGTGTTCGTTGTGCTAGTAGATTGTTAAATAAAACTCTATGCAGTAAATTAACTACAACATAAAACAGCATGTGATACTATTTGTTTCAGCAGTTCACAATATTTGTCTAGGACCCTAATATGTGTTACAGAAATATCAAAAAATAGGGAACACATTGAGTCTGATTGATGAGTCAGAAATTACATACATGAAACTTATGCTAATAAGAAATAGCTCAGGTTTATGTGTTTAACCACAGATATTACAGTAGCTCAGAAATGATAAATTGACCATTTTTTAATAAATGCCCAATTCATTTTATACCTTAATTCAATTAACCTCATTTGGTTGAAAATAAAACTGAGTTTATAAACTCATATAACTAATCAAAATAGTTTTCAGAGTACAGTAAGTTGTCAAAAGTCAGTTAAGAAAACAAAATTCCTAAACAGAAATTACTTTTAAAAATAATAGCACACAGAGAAAAGCACCTCTAGTCACTCTTCCTCTAATTTATACCCAGACAAAGGGAGTATAGGCCAGCAACAGAGAGAACTTGGATTATATCATCACAAAAGAATTTCAGTCACTTTACTTATCAGCTATTTTTGCTTCCTCACCACAGCTCTGAAGGAGCCAAGTACTTGAAAGAAGAACAAGGATGAAATTCTCACTTGGTTAAATCTTAGACTGCAGAGCCAGGAGAATACATGTATAGCAATTGTTTGTGACGGCGTTACTCTAATAATTAGAAACAGAACTTTTTAAAAAATTATACTCTCTTCACATCTGTAATACCCTTATACTGCTATAGACCAAATTATTTTTCTAATCCGATCAAGAATTAAACCTATAATGTCCTTTTAGTCCCCAAGTAAATTCAATAGCATTTTTAGAAAAAGAATTTCTTCCCAATTTGCCTTAATATGATTCTGTTATTATTCTACCTGAAAGGTTTGAAATACAATAGGTGAATTGTAACTGAAAATTCAATTACCTGAAACACAAAGAAAAGCAGATACTTGTTTGTTGAATCTTTTTAAAAAGTACATATTGAGAAAATTTAATAGAATTCAGTATTCTACTGGAAATGAAGTAATTTTATAGAAAAATCAAAATGCCCAGATTCTCAATGGTTTTAGTCTCACTGAAAGGCCTTAGACAGATAATATTTTTGAACATTCTGAATGTTTAAGATTTGTCATATAGTGGTTATCAAATCTGATAGAGCTTTAATAAATAAAAATAACCCAATAGCATTGATGAACTTTTTTTTGTTTAAAATGAATGTTTAAACATGGATTTAATTTTTCTCCATTGTTCTTTTATTTGGATAATGTGATATGATTTTTGTTGATATAGTTTATATTCCTTTTGTTTGCATTTTTGGAGGATCTTTACTCTTTAAAAAGATTCTAGCATCAGCTGGCAACGTTAGAAAATAACCAGTTATAATTGAAAATAACTTACTTTGGATAAAAGCTAAGTGAGCTTTAAAACTGGAAACAGCCAGCTATCAGGATTTTTTGACCCCCACACAACCTCAGAAAAAGAATGAGAAAAAAACTCCTTCATTGAATTTGGTGGAAACTTTTTTAATGTTGTAAAATATAATTTTTGTGTAGTAAATTAGAATAATGGCAACATTAGTAATACCCACACTAAGTCCACGGGCCACAAGATGCATATTTTCATGGTCTGCATTTTAGGAATAGCACTATTGAATGAATTATGAAAATGGTCAATGAACTAGAGTGACTGACCTCTGAGAAAGGACTTAGAGGGACACATGTATGAAAAGTAATTTAGTATCATTAGCTACTTAAAACTGATTTCAATTAACTTTAAACTTATAGTTTTTATTCACTTATTCACTCAATAAATGTCTATTCTGTACCTGCTATGTGTAATACCTAATAATTAAACAGTGCTTTAGAAAGAAAAGCTACAAGGCTGGGCTTACGGTGTGAATGCATTTTGATGCAGCACATACTAGCATCTGGTCATCAGTTTTGCGTGTAAAAAAAAGTTCATTTCATTAATTCACTCATGTGTAATAAGACTAATAAATCTGTGGAAGACAGACTTTTGTTAAGTGAACTTCACTAATAAGCCAGAATGTCAACTAACTTACTCATTTACAGTGAGATACACACACACACACACACACACACACACACACACGCACATACACAATATAAATATACATAATACTTGTATTGCTAGGAAACTATATTAACAGATCATATCATTCTTTCACAATAGGAAACTGTGTTTGGGAAGTCACATTAAGATCTGATGCAGAATGACCATCGTAACAAAGGTGACAGCATTTATGAAGCCATGTAGGCATATATCTGTAGGTGCCCTGAGAATTCTTATTGCCTGGTCAGGGCTTTCTCATTTCTCCTTTGTTTATACTCTTCCATTATCTTAAATCTGTTACAATAATGGCAGTTTCTTATATTTCTCCAGAAATATTTCAGATATATCTTTTTTTTTTTTTTTTTTTTTTTTGAGGCAGGGTCTCACTTTGTTGCCCAGGCTGGACTTCAGTGGCATGATCTTGGCTCAGTGCAGCTCAGTGGCATGATCTTGGCTCAGTGCAGCCCAGACCTCTTCGGCTCAGATTATCCTACCACCTCAGCCTCCTGATTAGATGGGACTACAGGCATGCAACACCCTGCTCAGCTTATTTTTTAATTTTTCATTGAAATTGGATTTCACTGTGTTGCCTAGGCTGGTCTCGAACTCCTGGGCTCAAGTGATCTGCCCACCTCGGCCTCCCAAAGTGCTGGGATTACAGACATGAGCCAAAACACCCCACCCCTTTTTCTTAAATAGAGACTTGCAAAATGCCCTGGCCTTATGACAGCATATTTATAAACCATTTCTTAGGATACATTGGATCTGACATTTAGCATCTATGTAAGAATGATTTTACATTGGCTTTATCTGTAGCTTTAGTGGGCAGTATTTTCTTATTTGAAATGTAGAGCAACACAATATTTGAATTTTTAAAAAAATGAACAAGATATATTCCCTCTATTAAGGAACTTTCACTCCAATAAGAGAGAGAAGATACCCAAACAACTATGGTGTTATGTTAAAGTCATGTAAGATACAGATATAAGAAAAGTGGGGGCAGAAGAACATTTTTGGCTTCAAGGACTAAAGAAGACTTCAGAGTCAAAATGTCAGTTCAACTGCATGAAAAACAAGACTTTGATAAATCATGAGAAGAGAAAGCATTCTAGACAGAAGGAACAGTGTGGCTGAAATAAGAAAAGCATGAGATATGTTTGGTGAATAATACATTAAACCAGCATGTTAATGGTTCTCAACTTTTTCAAGTGTGGGAGTTCATTAGTAACATCAAAAATTTTATCATACAGTCTCCCCACAGGGTAGTAATTAAAGCTTTTAGTAGCTACTGATTGAGAAAACACATTTGTACAGATGGACAAATAGCCTCAGACACTGCTACACTAAGTACTGGCCTTCAAGAGATTAAATCACCCAAATGTTAAGAAACCACTGACAATAAATTTATTTTGAATTGAATAATAGAAAGTAAACTTAGAAGCCTAAGTTATGGGCTCATCAAGGAGGGTTTTAAAAATTAACTGTAGATGTTAGAGTTTAAATTAAAAGTACTCATGTACAAGTCAGTATCACCTTTAAATTATCTTCATCCTGTACATCAGTACTTTGCAGTGAAACTGATGTGACAGAGGGGTATGAGGGAAAGATTTCCATTGTACAAATTTTGTCTTGATATTTTAGTTAACTTAGTGAAAAATTCATTTAGATCAGTATTTTGACATTTTTAAACCTTGAATTTTTTAGGACATACTTTTTTGTGTGTGTCATTTCACCAGACTACTTGCAATTATTAGGATCAGAGTACTGGAAGAGCACTTTCTCTCATTTTTCTGCTTTTGAAGCATGCCAAAACAACTTTTGAGTCAGTGACAGTCACTGCATCTTGACAAAGGATTTCATCTCTTTCTTCCCAAATCAAAAGAGTAAATTAAATTATTGCTCCCCAGAAAAAAATGATGAGAGAGAAATGGGAGTAGTCTACTGAGAGTAAAGGTCTTAATAAATGTGTTGATAAATAGTAAAAAATGGTTTTTCTCACAACCTATGCTACTGAAATTACGATTGCCAATGGCAAAAAAAATTTTGACTTGTCAAATCACATGACTATTTGCAGCCCTTAATGTGCTTCACATGCCTCTGGGACTACTGGCAAAGCAACTATTTCTTGCTAAAACTCTTGCTTAGTCATTTGTCACTTCTCTTCCAGGTAGATATGTTTCTCTCCTGTGTACATTTCCTGATGCCTGTGTGGATTTGTTCTTCCACCCACACTATAAATTTATGTCCTGGGTTCTCTTTCCCAGTAATTTCTCATTCTATACAGTCTGCATAAGCTTATTTACAGTCTTCTCTTCAACTACCACTACTTTTTGATGAGTCCTAAAGATATATAGTATTAGCCAGACCCTCCACTAAACTACTGAACTTTCAGCTACTTATTACACAGCTCCACCTAGATAAACTTCTAAGTTAACATGACCTCATAAACCTAAAGCCTTTTTCAGTATCTTGAAATGACACCTCACCCACAATTTTTGGTATTATCCTTGGCTCACTTTCTCCTTCACCCCTTACCCACTAAATTGTCAAATTCTATCAACTCTACTTACTATGTATATGATTCTTTATACATTCTACTTCTGTTGCTACTTCCCCAACTTAGTTTGTTTTTTTGTTTTTTGTTTTAACTTGGATTCATGTTGTACCCTCCTGACTGATTCTATTACCACCAATTTTACATGGCTCCCAAATGATCCTCTATTCTACCCCGAGAATGACCTTTCTAAAATGATTATAATCAATCATATTTTCCATTTCTTTTTCAAAATAGTATCCAAACTCCATAGCCTTAATATCCACGGGCTTTCTGTGA